GATGGTTTTATTTTATACCTCTCGAATGCGAACAAATACATTTTCTTTTTTCGCAGTAATCCTTTTAATGCCTTTTAATGCTAACTTTTTGTTCAAATTGAATAATTTCGAATTAATAATGCTTGAAATGAATCTAAATGGACAACTGAACTAGAAAGGTTTTTCTACATGTAAAAACAATTAATCCATGCTACCACCTTGACACTGCTGAACTATGGGTCTCCTTCGTAATAAGAGGGTTTGCTATAGTCTCCATGGTTAGCAATCAGATTGTTCAAATACAACGCAAGTAGAAGAAAATACTTATTCGTCGTTATAAAATAAACAAATATTAAAGTTAAAGTTACAATGGTTGTAGTAACAGTTGATGCTCGATTGTATCCATTTGACGCGCCAATCACAGCCATTATTACCAAGTACCACTCCATTCTATGCCAGCGATAGTGATTGGCATTTATGAATAATTTAACTAATTGCCTAATCGTTAATTCATGTTACCTACACCAGAATAATTTAATACAACATTTTCAAATTAACTATCGTATAGTATGGGAGCTTTTGATAAATATAAAATAAAAAAATAACAAAGATATCAACATTTGAGAATCATGTCAAAATGGCGGAGGGATTGGGATACAATTTGGAACAGGGTTACATCATGGTCTACAAAAAAATGTAGGCTACTATTTATCCCACGAGAACGCGGGAAAAGCTGCTAGTTGAATCTAGTATATTATATTGTATGGATACTAGACTACTCAAAGGAAGATTAGAACGCAAGTCCTACACTTCACTGATAATACACTCAAGGATCAGTAATCTGAAGTGGCAGTGGGCCGGTCACATTTGTCGAAGAACCGATAACCGTTTGGATAAACGTGTTCTAGAGTGGAGACCACGTCTAGGCAAACGTAGTGCAGGGCACTCTCCAGCTAGGTGGAGTGACGACATTCGAAAGGTGGCAGTAGTTGGATGAGAAGAGCTGAAGACCGAGCTCAGTGGCGTACCATTGGACAGGCCTATGTCCAGCAGTGGACAAATACGGGCTGATGATGATCCTTGGAGGAATAATTATTGCCATGTACAAGCAAGAGGAGTAACTGTAAACACTCAGTTGACCGGCAAATCAATTTATGTCGTATAGAAATATACATGTTAGGTTCAATAAGGATTACAACGCATGTTGTTGAGTGATAAGATTAAATCCAACACGCACCTATTGTACATCTATTATAATTAATAACATTAATTAACACCTTGTATTATACACCAAAATAGCTTCCACGTGACCGACCCTTGATGACCTTTTACATAATTATATGGGCGGCACGTCATTATGAATTAGAGCTCCCTTTGTATATATTTATCGTAAAACCGGAGGTCAGTTTGTATTGGACATGTATACGATTATATGCTGTCGCCTATACCATTACGAGAAAGCTGTTATTACGCAGATACCTGAGATATATTACTAAATAGATTATGTACACCTGAATCCTTCTGATTCCATTAAGTAAACAACATGTTTATTTATACTCTGTGGTTTACAACGTCATTGTTTTTTCCGAAAGTAGATCAAAAGAGATGAAATTTAGAAATAGTAACTTTAATAGCTTGTGCTAAAGTTTAATTTACAAGGTTCAAGAATTTATTTAGGACTTTGTGTACTTATGTTCGTTTTATTTATTACTCGTAACCAAAAAAAAACTCAGTCAATATACTTTTGTGTGGGAGAAAATAATATGATATTGTTATCAACGTTGTAACTATTCTATATCAGGTACTGATGAGAGCTTTATACTACACTAAAAATTTTCCATGAAACAGCGACCTATCAAAAAATGTTGTAACATTTCTATAGTATTTTTGATGTAATTCAATAAAACATTGTTTAGTAAAACCCAATTATTGTAAGAGGTACAGCTTGTTTGAAGAACATTAATAATTTAAAGCTACAATGGGCGGTCTTATCGTTGACAGCGATATCTTACAGCCAACCTTTGGAAAGACAGAAATCTGATAAAATTAATCATAGCCGTCTCTCAATCTGTGGTCCAAATTCCATGTAATTCTGAATGAAATAACATTAATGTTTTTTGTGAAACATTTTTCTTATTTTTTGATGGATTTACTAAACGCAGATTCTTTGAAAAACAAGCTACAATAATTCGTAGCAAGTGCTACGAGAACATAAAACTTTCGTAGCGGTTGACTCGTAGCCAGTACATTTGTGCATTATCCTTTACAATTAACATCTTATCATCAGTCACCTATTTCGGATTAGTCGGTTTGAAATAACGCAAACGATGACGAGAAGTCCTCGTGTTAGTTCGGATGTCATCGCATCGGTTAGGATGTGGTCTTTTGTGACGTGTTCGAGCCACGCCATGATAATGTGCGGTGGTGGCCGAATTCCCGTTACTCGGTCGCACTTTCAAATAACGATTGCGATGTTACGACCTCGGGTTTGCCTCGATATTTGTGAAAGAGCTGATAGTGGTCAGATTGGTTGGGTGTAGTTACTAACCTGTATGCCGTATGCAACTTTAGGCAGAATATTCCTAAGTAAATCAAACTGATTCAGAAGTTACCAAACTAACGTTTAAAATACAAGAATATCGTGTGGAGACTGTTTCCGAATAGAAAAGTCGGCGTAACTGAACGTTAACTAAATAATGTTCATTACGTATTAATGTTCAATTGGTATGTTTTACGTCGGGCGCGCGCCGTGTGACCGCGCGTCCTCCCCAGGGAAATCAGGCTGCGATCCTCCGAGCCTACACAATACTACACTTTACCTGTTTGAGTAAACCTTACGAGCATTTTTACCACCCAACATTACACCTATATGTTTCCAATCAAACATATAAGGCTTTCTCTCCAATCGGCTTATCGTTTCATCGAAATTCCGTCAAGGAGAATTAGACCAAACATTTAATTTGCCTTCAAATAAAACCAAATTATATTTGGCTTTAATCATTGGGAAAAATCAATCGAGAGGAAAAGCATTAGTCTATAAATAAAATAAGGATGGCCTTTTAGATTGAAACCCTATATCAGGAAAGACACTGAAATTGAAATAATTATTTGGGCTTTGGTGGAATTATTGTTATTGTTTGGTAAGTAACATGATCTTTTACGTATGTCTCCTCCTTCCTTTTATTGGAATATTTCTTGTAATTTGCAGAATGAATAATCGTAAACACATTTATTAAGTCAAGTGTACATATTTATGTAGCTATAATTATTATATACCAAACAATGGTTTACTAAGAACAAAGAAAGAAAAACCATTTATTTTTGCGCAGAACACACATAATAAAAAAATATATAATTCTAAAGAAAAATTAAGGCTTGTCCATGGTCCACAGACCTGAAATGATAGACTAGATGATACTACGTGTAAGTACATTAGCCAGTAAGTTCAATGGAACAAGGAAAACAGGTGTCGCGTTGATCCGTTAGTCGGATTCATTTTCAAAATGACATGTCCATTGTCCACTGATCTGCATGTTCTAAACGCGGGCGCCGCGCTTTTATCAGGCTCGTCAATGTAATGACAACTTCATTATGATATGACATTTAATTGACATCTACAAGAATAGACACCATGTCGATGCGAGATGCATGTTGAGTGGAGGATATGAGGCTAATGTGAGGAGAGGGGGAGAAATGCGTTCAATGGGAGTAATGCGTTCAATACTCTGGTACATAATAAATTATTCACTCGGATATAACTCTATCGACTTTGGGAAAGTGCGAATGGGTGTCGCGGGATGTGGATTAGAAAGTTTTCTAAAATAATAATATTGTATATTATATTAATAAAGAGTGATATTAATGTTTCATTGGAGAGCGGTTACCGTATAGTGTATGATATTCATATGTATATGCATTTCTTTAAGTACTACATTTTCTTAGAATAATGTCTATGTAGAAGTCAAAATGTGTATTACAGTTTGCGTCTTATTGACGAGGTAGCTCAACTAATTTGATAAAAATGGCTTCAGCCAATGATAAAAATATCCGACCGATACAAAAAAAGATAATTTTTTGTGGGGCAGTCAGGTAAATATAATCATTCCTTTAAGGTGAAGGCGTATGGAGGACGTAGTGACGTTATATTCACGCCTCCACGCTTACGTCATTGCTTCTATAATGAGGAATGGTCTATTTTTGGAATGTTAAAACTACCCACAACAGCTAGTAGATCTTGCCCTAAATAAATAGATAAAGCTAAGAATAATTTTAGACAATTTTAATGAAAATACCTAGTTACTTTTAAACATTCTGCAGTTTACAACAGATCATAATATTAGCAATTAATACTTCCACGCATTTTTAATTGAAGAACCCATGATTGCCATGTATGTCATAACTCATTGACTATTGTTTCTTAAACGAGTCAAAGAATTTAATCAAATAATATCTGTGTGCGATGTGTTCAACTTAAAAATAAATTATATCTATAGATATATAGATATTAGGATTGTTTGACGATCTGCTTGGACCGAAATTTCATTCGAATCCGTGATATCACGATGTTAATTACACGACTAACTCGGATTAAGTAAAGCTACAGTCCACTGTCGATGCAATCGAATAATAAGATTAGCAATTATCGATTGTTACATTGAATAATGGTAAATTTCGAAATATGTCAATTTCGATTCCATTCTGCGAAGCGGATTAGCGGAATGGCAAACTGCGACAGATTCACGGAATGATCTAATATTGATTCAAAGTAATGCGGTATGCTAAGTAAGATTGCAGTTTCAATTGTTTTGTGATCAGCGTGGCGAGAATTGATTAGATTATGTTTCACATGTTGTTTACTTCATATTTTCCCATTGCATATTGCAAAAATAATCAATTGTATATATTATCCGGAAAATTGACTATCTGTAACGATAAGATCTTGTGATCAACTTCTTCTTCTCGCAGTTAATGATGTACGATGCAAGTATCTAGAAGTAATAAATTAGTAACTAAGTACTTACATGATGTATTATATCTGTAGCAGCGTAGAAACTTTCGTGCGGATCAGGTCGTTTCATCATGTAGGGTCTGGGGAACTCGTTGTCCTCGCAGATTTCTGTACAAAAACAACACTAATCAGGGCTTTGTTACAACAACAACAATCAAGGTATAACCAACATTTTGATAACGTTGATGCGACACGAATATGCTTTATGGAAAAAATATGGCCGTCATACGTATCCCGGGCCGGTTCAGTATAATAATGGAACGTTCAGCCGCGCCACGCATGGACGCCTCGCGCCTGAAACGTCAGTCAAAGTCACAGATAATTCGTATTTTTGACCAAAAATCCGTCACTATTTTCTCCCCCGCATTCTTCTACAGATACACGAACCTGAGACCTTTTATCCTGTGCTTGGGGCGCATCATCTTTTCAATATGGCCTCTGAACAATGGCCGGCTTTCCGGCCGGACGTCCGGTCGCCCGTAACGAGCACGTATCTTGAATTTTCTTTTAAAGGGGGCTGGCCAGTGTCAAAATGTCTGAATTTCAGTTTACTACGATGTCAGTCGAAATTATTAGACGTTAAATTAAATATAGGTATAAACGTTATCGAGTTTAAAAATAGGACTTCGCTAAATTTGTTTAAGTTTTTATCACTGTCAAATTATACAAGTGAAAATGAAATATCACAAAAGATAACAAACTTTCGGGGGTCGAGCAAAAAACTCGTTATCCTCCATCAGATAGCAATACATAGCATTTTCCTTAACATTCGTCAGAACGTTGCGTTTATTTTCTAAAAATGTGTAGTTAAGAAAATCATTAGGTCGTTTCATTTTCAAGCTATTCGTATAAGAGTCTCTGGTATAGGGAGAGCGAGGAAAAGTAACAATCTAGGGGCAAGTGCACTCGTAAACCTAACGAGTGCAGTCGAGTGGCGAGTCGAGCGTCGCAGGCGAGCTAACTAGTGCTAGTAGGAAAAAACACCGCTAGCGACCACAAACACGATGTGTACGGAGCATTTCAAAAGCGTTTAGCGATTTTTGTGAACGTTCATTTGTTTTTAACGTTTTGCTATGCTTTCATTGTACTTTAATCGGTGTTTATTGCAGCTAGTTCGAACTTGTTACAGTTTGTCCTAGTTCACAGGACTAGTTACGAATAAATATTACTATTCCGCAATCTCGAACTGGAATAGATATGTCATTATAAATTTGTCATTGAAAGTTATGTTCATGTTTAGTTATGTACATTCACATGGGGATCAACCCTTGTTTATCGAGAAAAAATAACCCGTAGTAGTTTGTTCATTTGTAAAAGCAGATATTTACAATTAGGGTCAGCTCTCTACGGATTTAATATCCCCGACTTTATTGTACTTTACAACTCCTGTGTCGTATATATATATATATGTATATATTGTTTTATCTTTTTATTTCTGTAGACATTGTGTTGCTCCATCACGTACTGAATATATTGCTGTTTTACAAGTATTGTTTAAATAATAATGTTTGATTTACGGCCGTCGTACGTACGGGGGCCTTGGAATATTTATGCTGTTAGTTTATAGCTGATGACATAGTTTTCTTTAAGAATCAAAGATGAAAAAGACAAATATGTTTTCTATATATATCTTACAAATGTGGTCATACATTACGTGTTATGACATAACTTTGTGAAACTATTGTGAGCACTAATAAAAATACAGTCACATTTCTACTTCGAGAAGTAGGACTTAAAGTTAGATGATTTGTAAGCTGCGGACGCGCGGACTCGAACATTCGATGTGTGTAAAGGCATAACCACAGTACAAAAATTTATGTCGTATTTCGATACCGTGAGATTTCATTTCACTTTCTGACCAAAAATATCTCCTTCCGCAAACGCTTTCGCAAGTAGCGAATTGTAATGACGTGACTATTAACGCTACCTAATGACATTCTAAAGAGGCGAGCCCGATCACGGTTACAGCATAATGGTCGATTTCCATCAGAGTTGTAACGGAATTACAATAATAATTACCATTCACATTTATCGTGAGGAATGTAGTGATATTAATGTGGACTTACCTTTAGTTATTTCGAAAAATGTAATATTGATTTCCCCTCACTAATATATCGACCTCAACTAATTTTGGTTCATATGATAAAGTCTTGTAAGGTATAAAATAGTGTGGCACTCACCGTTGTACTCGTGTTGATCATGTGACTCCCGTTTGTCCCGACGGCCGAGGGTTTCCCTCCAAATGTTGTATGGTTCTCTATAATCTTCATCGACGACTGCCGGTCTGCACACAAATAACCTATTTTATTATCTCGTGCGATTGTTTAAAGTTCCCCTAAAGCCGAACTAATTGAATTACTTTTTTTATTTTTAATCTGTGTAATGGTTTTTTGTCCCATTACTTCGGCTGCAGTAGGTAGGTAATTGATTCTACGTGGCTTTGTTGACGGGCCTGTAGAACTGAAATTGTATGCATCTTTTTATTGTTTGACTGTATTACGGTATACTGTATATTTTTACGGTACCTATACTAACCACTAGTTCTATCTGATATAAGTGATGATACTTTGTTTTAAATACATGTCCTTTGAAGAATAATTACTATTGGATTTGTTTGTAAATGAGTAATTCAATTTATTATTATGCTTACCTCAGCATGTGTATTGGAGGACAGTTTGCTAGGGCAAGGGCAAGTCTTGGAGTCCTACGATTGTTCCTAGAACTCGAGCTGCCATGCCGTAAGGATGGACAAAATGGTTTCTTTAATACGTTCGGTATCCTCCGCCTGGTCTTTTTGGTTAGGAGCACCACGGTTGCTGCGATAAATGCCCCTCCTCCCACTAGGGCGCCGCAAGCTAGACCCACTGAAACTCTCAGAGATGAGTTTCTCTTCTTCCTCGATGATGGAGGAATATCGCTCCTATAATATTCCTCAAGAAACTCGGCTGAGGTGTTCACCCAGGTCGGAACTGTTAACAAAAAAGAAAATGCATAAAAGTGGAATAACTAGAATGAAGTTCGCTTTCAGCTTTCACGTAAGACTAAAACAATGGGAGAAAATGAATAGATGTCGAGACCAGGACTAATTGTTGTTTTATAATGGAAGGGAATTTACTAAGAAATGCCGCCCACACTCAGATAGTTTTCAACCCTCAGAGATTCAGGCTACGTGTTTGAGATTTGTTGGTGGTTTTTGCATTTATAGCTTTGTGTCTTACTTAATAGGTTTAATTTAAACTAATCGAAATGCTAAATAAACAGTTTGTAGTAGCGATTGTTTGGAGATTTATTTTACTGTTCAACAATTGATTCGCAAAACAAATCCTTTTATCTGCAATGAAGCTTAAAAACACGCATTCGAATCAACTTTCACCATAAAAGTTGTGAACTATTGGTTTTGAGTTTTATAGGAATTCGGAAATAGGTTGTATTTTAGAGTCGTTCAGAACTGGGTCTAAACTAAAACTGAGGTTAACGAAAATGGCGGAGTGCCAGTGTAATGCTCAGAAGGTGCCAAGAGTCAGTTAATTCTGCGCTAATTTCAAATTGTACATTTAATGAAGTGTATCTCACGGTTGCAGGTCTAGAAATAGAACTAAACGAGACTTGTGGGAATGGTGTCCGGACTCGCAAGATAAATAAACTGCGCTATTTTATTGTGTTAAACTTTCATATGAACTGTGAGGAAATATTTTAAGTTAATGTCTATTATGATACAGGACACGTTTATTACATTTATTTAGACAACAGAGAAAGTGAATGGTGGTTTCGCGTACCGCAGTGGTACAAACTGGCGATAAAGTAATGGTAAATGTTACCTACCCCATAGAGTACAAAAGAAATGGGTATCGGGGTTCCACTGTATTGTAATTGGTAATATAATTGAAAAAGTATAATTATTTGCATTTTCCCGGCTATTTATAATATTGTTTATATGATTATGTATATATGTGTGTCATATTACAACGCTAATATCGAATTCACAAGGCCTCCATATATAACCTAACATATTTACTAATGGATTACGTGTCTCGAATATTTCCTTCAAATATAAAAGCGTTTGTGAAAATGTCCTTTGACGTACATAAGTGCGTTTAGATGGCCGTTTTGTGTTTTCGAACAAACAACCAAATTATACGATACTCTTGAGGGGCTTTGATTTCTTTTTATTATATTCTGTGTTTCCTAAACGAACTAGAGATAAAATATGTATTCATTACGGACTTCTTTTTTAGCTTGAAATTTTTCTTTTCATAATGAATTCTCAGAAACTATGCTCATATTTCTGACTTTCCGAAATATTACGATAAAAGATATTAAGAAAATTTTCACTTTGGGCTGCTAAATCCCCGACCGCGTAGGGTCAATGGCCTTTTAAGATTCTAGTTAGACCGAGCAAGCCAGTGAAATAAGATAGGTATTCTTTTTAAAATGAAGGTGGAAATATAAGTCCAAGTAAGTAGGTAATACGCTAAAAAGGTGCAGCTTTCACGCTGATATTACCATTCTTTCACTTGCATTTTAATAATAACGAATATTATTTTATTCAAATTGAATGTATAAACATTCATAATGGGCTATGTACCTTTAGATAAGAATTAACAATATTTATTTTGTAGTTTTTGAATGTCACACTTAACAATAGTAACATTAATGCTATTTGTTCAACCGAGTGGATGATTTGGATTGTAACGAAACCCGATATATCGTTTCAAAGTTGAATCGACGAGTGAATGATAAGCGGACAGGAGACGGTACTTTATGTACTTTCCATTCCGGTAATTAGACACGTATCACGATACTTGTACGGATTCCTAATTGGGGCAGATTAGGAATAATGATGATTCAGAAAGCCCGCACATCGCTCCACCGCCGGCGTAATTATGTTCAAAACTTGGCTGTCATTTCTTACGGAAGGTAGTCGTAAGCTCACATGGCTTATAATTATTATACTAACAATAAATTAAACAATTTTCCGCTTTGATTTGTTTTTGCCATTATTGCTTATTTCAGTTATGCTGTTATACTGTTCTACGTTCGTTCGTTGTCTTGTTACGTTCTACGTACCTATGTTTTTTTAGTTATACTGTTCCAAGGTACTGCCGGAAATCTGCTTTTCTCCACATGTCACTTTTAGATCTACGATGTCAATGGTTGGATCTATTGTTCGCCTAGCATTATAGATGTGTGACAATCGCGACAGACCATTTGACGTGTTCGCCGAACATCGTATCTATCTCTATACTCTGGTCTACAACTCGTAATTTTCTAGAGGCAAAAACTCGAATACATATCACTTTTTGTTTGATTGTCAATCTTGAGTAGTACCTAAACTAGACGAGACTGTCAATGACAAAGACAAATAAAACAATGTTCTATTTAATTAAACCTTGTAAAAGGTTTTGTAAGAAACCTAAATTAAATCTCGATTTTATGGAACTCCGCTCTTGTAAAATTGAATAGTACTACACATTGTGTGTTCAAAGGACCACCAATATTGCTCAAAATCCATTTTCATTGGGATAATATCTCAGAGAGTGCGGGCGACGCGTCACAGCCTCCTCAAAATATAATTGGGGGAACGAAATAATCCAGATCAAAGATTTTCTTTAATTACAAGTTCTTCATTTAGCGGCCGGCGATTTATCACTTAAGAGACGATTTCCTCAAAAGAGCTGTGGATTAATTAGAGGATGATAAAATTTGTGGAATAACCGCAGGCTTGCGAGTGCTCTGAACTGATAAGGAGGGCCCGATCAGGAGCGATACATCTATAAGTAGCGCCTCCTGCCACGCTCCTCATTTTATCCCAGTCAAAAATCATCCAATCGAGATTATTGTCAGTTCACTTTTACTTTTGAACAATTTCTTTGTACAAAAATTGTGCTCGATAAACTGTACCAGATTCCCGTTCGTGATTGCGAAAGATGTTTATCCCGTGAATTGAGCGCTGATTCGGACTACGCAAAATCAGTTGCGAATACCCAACAAATTATCTGCTGTTTGCGTTGATTTATTTATTTTTTAAGTAGGTACATTAAATTCACGCCGAGATTAAACACGTTTACGGACCCGTCGGAATGTTTCGGAGGTTTGGGTTGTAATTATTGTAATGGGAGGGTGGAAGTAAAGAAAGTTTAAGGATATTATTGTGTTATGTTTGTTGCAGGTGAAATAAATGGATTCACTTACCAGACTTGAAGCTGACTTCGCTGATTAAAATCCACTCATGTTGGAACCTGAGCTTCATCATAATATGCTTGGCAGTACGATTTTGTAGATCGATATGCACGATCCGGGCATGCTCTGACACCCTGTCCTGCTTCGGTTCGTGAGACACATAGTCTTCCTGCCAACGCTCTCCTTCTAGGGAGAAGTATACCTCGGCTTCTTTGAATAACTAATAAAAAAGAAAAAGTACATTGAAATCATATGTTATCTCAGTCTGTACTTTACATACATTTATGAAAGACATGACCTTATGGGTACATTTCATTATCTAATCAAAAGTTTTATAAAATTATTAAATTATATTATTACATGTAAATCGAGACACAGTCACAGTTTTTGCAGGTATTGGTTATCGCAAAGGCTTTGAATATAATTACCTGGACGTCTTTGGTGAACATGTTGTTAGTATGGACATCCATGTGGTAGAACAGGCGAGGCTCGCTAAAGTTGAAGGTTAATGTAACTTCTTCGTCAATTGACATCGTTTTGTTCCATCCGACCCATCGGGATCCTAAGACAAAACATGATGATATTGGTATGGAATTCGCTTTTACATAATAAATGATAGTGATTTCCTGTGGTGTATTGTTATGATTTTTGTTATTGTATAAGTTATAGATCCATAACCGAAAAATTACATACCTCTTGTATCTAACTGGTCAGGTAGTTCAAAATCGTTTGGTCCCAACAAGGAGTCCGTCATCTGACCGAGGCCATTAATTAGTCGGCCCTCTCGGAAAGTCCCGTCGTAGCCGAGGTCTTCAAACCGAGCACCACCGGTCATCGCTTGCATATCCCCGCCCTTCGGGGCCGAGTATGCAATTACATCTTCTGCACAAAGAACATATATTGAATGTACCGCCCATGGGCGGCTTTTTATCGCAGAGCACGTACAATTCGCAAAAAATCATTGTAAGCAGTGGCAAAGGTTATGTCGCTTTGCATTGTCCCGGGACGCACCAGCAATTATAAGTCGTATCCGTCTTATACCTACGTTTCCATTTACAACCATAAAGTTCCACTCTCATGCAAGCCGTCCGAGGATGCGCTGCGTACGGGAAAAAGCGTACTTTTGAAGCGATGAACGGGGCTTCGAGTGTCGATTTTCGGGGGGTGTAGGTGTTCACGTTACCAGATATCAACTGCAATAAAAATAACAAGTAGGAATATAAAACCTGTTATAAAACAACAATGAAAACGAGTTGTGTCTATCCATCGAATAATAATGAACATTAGAATGAACACTGACAAAAGCTACAAAGTTTTTTAAGTACACTTCCAGTTTACGCCTAAGCTATGTTTAAAAACAAGGAAAAGGGGCATTCATCGTTGACGGACGGGTGAACACTTTGCACCGGGACTGGAGTGAAATCCATCTCTGTGGAAATATTTTTGTACATATTTACGACATCGGCACTACAAAGAAAATGAAATCGTTTATCTTCTTTTGTCATTTCACGTGGAGCCGCATGTTTTGTTTTAACATTTTATTTTATGTAGGGCCGTTTATCAAGGGAAATTGAAAAATGTTAACCACTAAAGCGGTTTGTTTACAGACTGAGTGAGAGGGCTCGACATTTTTATTGTGAAGTAAAGATATGCGAAATTGCGATTGGTTCAGGTGAGCGAAACAGTTAGTCATAACATGTTTGAAAATACAGGGCTCGTTTTTTCATAGGAATATTTTCGTGTGATTTATTTATGGAACATGTGTCTTACTTACATAATATCGTTGTAAAACTAAATTGTTTCATTGATTTATTTATTATTTTCTATTTCTGTAGTAGTTATATAATTGGTACACAGTAGTTTATTATATTAGAGTTGCCACGTATAAACACATATACGCCAGCAAGTACTCGTGCCGTTTGGTTGAGCGTAACCTAAGCACCCGCTCTGGGACTAATTTCACGTAACTTGAACCTTGTGTCTTCGGCACGAGCCCGAAACTTCCCTGTGATCCGAAGTATGTAAAGGAAAACTTTGAGGGTACTGATTTGTGCCTAATTGCTAAGTAAATTAAATGATTTATTTAACTTTTAACGTGTTTGATAATTATAGTATAAATTTTCCATTTTGTGTCTGTGAGCTAAAAGGTTCTGTCTTCTTCATCGACGTGAGAGGTAAATTAAGAAATGCTTGGATTAATAATTTATGAGATACAATAAAAGACGTGGTTCATTTATTTGTTTTCTACTTTGCTATGGATATATACACACAAAACATTTGTTATGAAAGTAAAATTACGAAACTCTTAAAACGAAGCAGTTACTTACCCTGCTGCCGTTGAAATCTTTGTATTTGATCCACCGGTTGAGAGCGAGTCGCCAGTATTCGACCGAGTAGCTCTCGACAAATTCTACCCCAACGGAGTTAGCGAACCTGCCTTGAGACTCGGTGCCAGTAATTAGGTATTCGTCACGTAGGTCGATCTCGAGGAATTGGCGACTCTTCGGCGAGATCAAACCGTTTGGACACCAAGCACCTCCCTTGATCTCCGTACGGATTCTGCAAAGTCGTGTCTCGGTTAACTTCTCCGCGAAGCTCCTTTTTATTCATCACAATAAGCGAGCAACAAGTGGACATAAAGTACAGCCGAGCGTATATTTTCGTCGGTTTACCAACGTTTTTAAGTTCATTCCTGTACTTACTTAGTTAGCAAATGTATAAATAGACATTTAAGGCACGTTGGCGCATAAGCAAATAAAATTAGTGTAATAATGTAAGTAAATAGAGTGAAACGTTTGTGTTTCGTCTGACAAGCGACGTGGGACACGGCTCGCGGGCCGCGCGGCGGTCTGGTGGCAGTTCTATTAGAATATCTGTGTGATCTCATCACTAGTAGCGCGGGAACAAAGCGCGCTAAGCGCTGAATTAACGTGGCATTTGCTAAATCGCCTCTGACCCTATGTAAAGTGGCTCAGATGATAAGGCTTCGGCACAGCCGGCCCTACTTACATCTTGTTATCTTTGGGGAGTCAAGCTCCGAAAGGCTTTTGTAGGATCACGGTCGTTCCAAATTCATATGAAAATTTAATTTTCTGTTAGTGAATTTCTCAAACGGGAGTCGAGTTTTCGCGTTATTGTCTCGCTTCGGGCTTATGCGGGCTTAAGGCCCCGAATGTGGGTCCCACTGTTAATTGTTTGAGCTAAGTATGAGCGTTTTGCGGCTGGGGGATTCACAATTATTGTAACAACTTGGCCGTATCATAGCGCTTTATTGTTGTTTAACAATGGGCAGCTAAAGACATTATATCGATTAAAGGGTTATTTGTTTCGGATTTGGGAGAATGTGTGTCCATTCATGACTATTATTTAGTAATTGTGTGCCCTCAATTGTTTGCATTAATAGGTGCCGTTATTCCATTAGTTTATGTTCAGAGATAGGTTTTGCAAACAAGTACTTACCTTGAACTTAGCGGCGAAACACTTTGATCGTAGCTGGAACTAGCCGAAAGGGATTCATTGGAAATCATTCCATTTTCCATCCCGAGCGGCACGTAGCAACTTCCTCCTTCAGCTGAAAAAAAATATCACATTTAATATGCAATAACATTCAAAGCTCGTTGGGGTCCTGTTAGAAATATGTTTGTTGCAAATTATGCGAACGGGTTTTACAAGGGGAAAGGGTTATGAAAAAATAAATTAGAATAAGTGACTATAGGAACTCGAAAGCAAAAATTGTTGGACTATTCTAATGTGTTACTGAGAATATAATTTTGTATCGTTATGTTCGAGCCGGTGTAATGTTTTTCTTTAATTAGGGTGTGTTGTATGGGCTGCGTCCGAGAGCGTGGCTGTCTTGCCCGAGGCGGGTGCTAAACTATTCGGATCGTTACCATTCCTTCCGTAATGTGTGTTTAGTGTTGCATTAGGAAGGGACGCTCTTGGGGAAATTCCGTGTTCTTTTAATATCGTTTCCTAATAATGTGAACCTCCCGAAAAGAGAAATAAACCATAAGTCCAACGCTTAACAAAGAATTAACGTTCACAAACGTATTTATATTACATATACATTTATTTATGATGTTTACTGTGGATAGGAACATTTTGTTCTCACAGATTTTGTGGCTGATGTAATTAGGTATTTTAGAGTCGTAATCTAGTCATTTTGTTTCAGAATAGCTCCCATTAATTGGGTAAATAAAAAGGCTAAAATTGGCTATTCACTGTTGGTTATAACGGGCATAGAAATAATTAATTTTATTAGGTTGTAAACAAGCCGATGGACGACCTAGTGGGCATTGCCACTACTGTTGTCTGAAGTAGGCGATCGGCACTAATGTGCGGTAGTAAACTCTTGACTACTAAATCAAAATCATAAACATAAACGAATTATCGTGATGCCTCCTCCATACATAAGGAAATATGATATCCTAAACATTTCTCCGGAACAAGTTTTGTACATTTATTTGATATCTACTTTATCAATAACAATGCTAACGAGCAGTATAGTAACATTATACGTGTATGAATTTAGGATTTTGTACGGATAAAAGCTTCGATCTCTGCAACCCTCAGGGTGGAATAACCTATGGGGTGCTTGGAACCCCATCACCCGGCTCATATGTGTTCACCCCAAGGGTTTTAGACCTTCCCTTATTAGAGCAGTTTGTTACTTAGAGACCTTTGTTTTGTTTATACTTATTTTTAGCAAACCCAGCCTCAGGGTATTTGCTGTTGTATCTGTAAATGCACTTTTGATGTTTCATGCTTGCCTTTAATACAATATTTTAAGTTGACGAAAATGGTACTTGAAATAATAACTTTACGTTAAAACAGAAATGTGTGTTTAATTTATAAATAATATTATTGCGAACATGAGAAAGACAGTTTTGATTCTGTTTATTTATATAATATAAAAATGAAAGTCGTTTCTCGTTATCACGTTATAACTTGAAAACGGTTTGACCAATTTGGCTAATTTTTTGTTTGTTATTGTTAAGGGAATGTTCTTATGACGAAACAGTTCCTGGAAATCCTACGGGAACGGGAGAAAACGGGATTGTGCGTACGAAGTCGCGGGCAGAAGATGGTAAGTATAAAGTAAATTAAAAGAATATAAAAATGTAAGCATGACTTTAGTGTGAACAGTAGTGTAGTTAAATGTTGAAAAATTTAATGTACGATAACTCATAAAAAACAAAACTAGTCCATTTAAAACCTAGTACCTACACTAATAAAGTAATATTTAAAACATGAAACGATTTTCGTTTCAATTCTTTATATTAAATTCCTTCATTAAATCAAATTTTAAAAACAAATGAAGTTGTGTGCGGACGGGAAAAAATCTAATTCGGATTTTCACGCATAACGTAATTCTAACGTGATAATAATACATATATACGCCAGTATACATGTATTTATTATTGGTACCCCTCCCCACGTCGCGGGCCTGCGGACGGCGAGCATGGGTGGCTTCCCGTCCGACCAGAAAGTATGGCGCGTCGCGTTCGGCGCGCGCCTCAAAGAGCCATCAGACCACCACAGATGGGGCCCAATACGGCCGATGCCGAATCGGAGTCGCGGAGAACCTAACGGGTAACCGGGACTCCGACTCGACGTGCAGGAGAAGGAACGGGGTGGTTTTTAGTCAGTAAGAGTCTGACACTCCCTCCCGCCTCACGCAGGCGGGAGCAGTCATTCGATGATTTTCCCCCCTTAAAAAAAACCCCTCCCACGTCCCCTGCCAAATTGTATGAGACATTGTTAAAAAATAACGACTTGTTTATGTTTCATTATAAAATGTTCAGACGAAATGGAAATCGACTTCGTTTCGTTATCGAATACAAAGTTGAAGAATTAACTAAAAATATCTTTCGTTTTTAGCAGTTATTTTGTCGAAATGTGGAGAAATAATAGACGTTATTAATTATTTCATTATTTTATCACCATTATGCATTGACCCATTATTTTATCTATTAAATGGAAGGTTATGGAATGTGTCTTGTTTTTCTTAAATAATGTATGAAAATGAATGCCGTGTTCGGAAAATTCTAATGTCTCTCATGGTAACCTGCTTATTTACTACTCGCCAATTTATATAAATGGGTTTTCCTGTACTGTTTTCGTCTCCAGGGAATATTGTATGTGCATATTTGTTTTGAGGAAAAATGGAATCTAGGTTAAAGTAAGCCGAGGTAATAATGTAGATATATTTTTATAAAACATGTTGTTTTGAATGGTACTTATCTTTAAGGCTCTCAATTAATTTTGTAACATGTTATATAATGTAATGTGTTAATGCTAATTTCAGATACTATATAAAACCACAAAACTAGTCCTCTCTGTTTTAATAGATGTAGAAACATATGCCGTATTTGCTAAAGTACAAAGCCACAGGAGTGCTTAGCATGGCACGAAAGCTTGCCAGTTTCGAAAACAATGTTCCAACCAGCAAGATTATTAAGGACGTATGCGTTCCGCCTTAATCTGACAAACAGGCGTGTGAGGGATGTGCACCTAATCCAGAGAATCGCGAGGACACGTGATAAATTACAGAGGAACAAATTACGAGGAACTGGTGTGAGTAAAACCAACAATTTATTAAAAAGACAAATGAGGCAGGCCGTCGCAAGGTGCTTTTAATTATTACACGATAATACTTGTCAAAACTAACGACATGTTTACAAGGGACGCTGCGTGGTCGTCGATGGTAAAACGTAGGTACTAGTTTTATCCAGTAACAGTAAATTAATTATAACATTATTGAAATTAGAATTATTCTAAAAGCCTACACCAAAATTGTAACAGTGATTCAATAATTACGAAGACATTGTTCAATAAGAACAGAATTGAACATTAATAATAAACTTTATGAATAGCAAGCATCAGCAAATCCAGTTCAGAATTAACTCCAGTTCACAGCCCCTCCCCGAGGGTAAACTAAACTTACTACCTCATTACATTAATTGCCCGTCGCAAAGGAGAATAACTATTAAAAATTCATTGTTTTAGCCTCCCACCAAATTCACTGGAATAGCATTATTAATATTTAATTCTACAATGACGCCGCGCCTAATGCTTTTCATTTAAAATTCTTAACAAACTTAATATTTGAGCAGGGTGGCCTTCCCGAGGACCCTATGCCTATTAAAAGTATATCAAGATGTTTTTGTTTATTCGCAGTCGTTTCGCTTACAAAGCGGCATGTGTTCGAGGCCCAGTTCAACTTTCCGCTGTGTGGGCCGCAGTAGAGAGCGCGTTTTGCTGAAATTCCGCGCGGGTAATGTTTCACATGGGGTATCTCGGTAAGGAGACTAGACTTGCACGCTCAGTGGTACATAAATTTTCCGTTGGTACCGCATCGGAACCGCAGTAGGTAGCGGAACGACGTCCGTACCTCGTACGTGTTGCGCTGCCAAATAAAAATGTGGGTGGGACCTTATTTTGAACATTAGCTAGAGACTCATATGGAGCAGCCGTACGAATAGGGAAGTAGGATATATGTGTGCGGCAGATACGCGTGTGTACGATACATAAACCTGTCTATTTATTATGATAACTACATATTTTATGAACGGCTGCATTATCTAGTCGATGTTATGAGATAATGTTGGCTACGCTTTGGTTCGTACTCGTTTCGTTTGAAATATGAATATTATGACACAGAACGTTAGCATTGTTCGTTTGTTTGAGTGAAGAACTTAACCAGCGGACGTTGTCGAGACTCGAGACAGTACCAATCTTGTTAATTTTATTTGTGTAAAATATAACTTCTGGCTTAATTTTATTTACAAGGTCTACTTGTAAGTTAAATAACCAGTGCTTTTTTGGTCTGAATTGCCAACAAAATGCGCCAAACAAAGTGTCGTTATTAATATTCGCGGCTTGCTGCGAAACGTATAATCGCCGGACCCACCTACATAAATAATTCATGTTGGAATTAAAGAAACTAAAGTTTCTCTCATTTTAACGAGCCACTTTAATGAAAGTGTTTGCTAAAGGAATTTATCAAATTATGTGACGGACATTTATTGTGTTTATTTCTTAGTTCAATACAATAAATAGAGGAGGTAATTGTCTATTGGTCAGGCATTCTAGGTCGACGTGAGAGGTTGGCTTTCATCGGCGCTAAAAGTGAGGGAGATGAGGTCACCTATTGTTAAAAATCTTGTTATTATCACCTAACGCTATTCACAAGAAAATAGTATTTGAAAGCATGTCATTCATCCTGTAATGTACCTAAGTGGAGTGTAAGTGATACCTTGGCTTTAACACTTTGTTTTTGTATGGCCTTTCTTCTACACTGATGCATGTATTGTTTGTTGCTCAAAGGTTTACTGTGAGGTCGTACTGTATTGTCTCAGTCTTACGTGAGCATTAGTGCCCTATAAAAAGGTGCTATAGAATACAATGTTTTTTGAATAGAGGAAAATTGACGGAACTTTGTGTTAAATTAATGGAAGTTTTGATTCGTTTCGCTACAGATGCGATTTCTTACTCGTTTATCTAGAAGTAGCGAGTACAATGTGGTTCATAGTTTGACTTCATAAATAAGCACAGCTAAAATTGAAATAA